TACTTCGTTATCAAACCTAAATCAAATTATAATAAGAAAAATTAAATTAAAAAAATCACACAAAAAAATTAGAAATTTTAAATAGTTAGTTTGATACTAATATAAATATATTTTTTTCAAATTATTATGATATCTTCATATTTATATCTTATGCAAAAGTAAAAATATTATCATTTTCTTAAAAAACCACATAAAACTGTATTATAACATCGAAGAAAGAAATGAAACATTAAAGTCGAGATGTATCCCGCTGCATTGCGCGAATACCCTTTTAGTAATATTAAATGTACAAGCTTTAACCTCCAACGTCTACCACATATTAAAATTCAAATCTTTTTTATTTCTAAATTACGTTTTTACTCTAATAATCAGTTATTTAATTTTACTTTAAATAATCGTATATGAACTAAAATGTATTAATAAGTACATTCTTTTTTACAAATTATACCATTATAGTCGTGTCAATACATTATAAAGAAAGCCAATATTGAATATTTTTTGATTTAGTCATACTATTAAATATCATTAATATATATGAATTAATTTGTTTTATATTCTTTAAGTTTTCGTTTTCATTTGGGGGTTCGACAAAGACCCCCAACTTTCAAAAAAGCGTGAGAAAGAAAATGATTGAACCTGGGTCATAAGTGATATTCTCAGTGTTGCATTTGAGACCTTCATGTATAAGAATTGTCTTTAGAACCTGAGTCACACCTAGTCTTACTCTAATGCTCATTTTGTGTTTTCAAATATGTATTGCAGGAAATGCTGAGTATAATGATAGTAAGGGAAAAGACAAATTGTAAAAGATCTCTATGTGCTTAGCGTTATGAAGATGGATAGATGTATTTTGATATTAGATGTTATGATGTACAAGAGCATGTATTTGGAATTTTTGAATCGTGTATTTTGTATTAGACTTCTTGTACTTTGGATCTTTGTGGGCTTGAACATGTATTATGTAAATAAAATATGTGTTATGCAATGTGAGTTTTGGGGGTGTTATGTAACTACCCACAAATTCCCACGTACAGATAATCCACATATACATACTCATAAAACAAAATATAGTATTGTTTACAAAACACGGGCTAACAAAAACTTTCTTGAATACATTTATGAGCAACTAAATTTCATCAATTCTAAACTTTCCCCTTGCCTTTATCCTACGAGGTATGATGTCCTGCAAAACATGTTAGTCCAACAATTGAGCATTAGACCCAAATGGTCTAGTGAGTGTACAAACCTCATACAATAATATACTTTCCAAACTAGCAGTAGGGGTGAGCATAGGCGGGTACCCGCCCTTTTTGACAGGAACCGGAACCGGAACCGGCGGTTCTTGAGATATTGGAACCGGAACCGGTTAGAGCGGTTCTTAAATTTTTGGAACCGGAACCGGAACCGTCGGGAACCGGTTCCGGTTCCGGGTACCCGCTTCCTAAAATATTAAAATTTTGTTATTTGGAAATAAAAAATAAAACGTTGCCAAAACACTAAATAAATAAGCAAGAATACAAATTATATATAATAATGGTTACAAATATTGTTTAACGATTACAAACCATAATAGACTAATAGAAAATGTTCAAAGTTTAACGATTACATACTATAATGGTATTTCAAAGTTTAACGATTACATACTATGAATCCAAGTGAACACACAATTTTAAAAAATATGAATCATTCTATATGAAGAATTTAGATGAAGAATGAAGATGACGGCGTGCTTTCAAGATGTAAACCTAATATAAATTTGGTATTAAAAAATAATAATTATTTTTTTATTTAAAAAGACCGGGTACCCAGCGGGTAACGGTTCCGAAAAATTGAGAACCGGAACCATTCTCAATCGGTTCCGTATTTTAGGAACCAGAACCGGAACCACTCATATCGGTTCCGGTTCCGGAACTGACGGTTCCAAGGCGGTTCCGGTTCCATAGCCGGATACCCGGTTCTGCTGCTCACCCCTAACTAGCAGTTTAAAATCAAAACTGTACAGACATAAACGTTATATTTATATTATATAGATTCTTTTCCTCTCACGGTTACACCGCCATTTCATCTCTCTCGCGGTTACACCGCCATTTCATCTCTCTCGCAGTTACACCGCCATTTCATCTCTCTCGCGGTTACAAAATCAAACCAAAATCGATAATGAAATTCAAACAACTTTAGCCGGATTTGAAGTCCGGTCATCCTTGTCCGGAGATCTAATCCGGACAACCACTTAGAAGAAAAAGAGGACAATCCAGACATAGCTTGAGCAATTTAGTCAAATCTGGACACCTCATGGCCGATTTAAAGGAAGTCCGGTTGCCTCTTGGGCGGTTTAAGGAGATTCCGATTGCCTCTTAAGTGGTTTAGGACAAATCCGGTTGCCTCTTAGGCGGTTTAGAATAAACCTCGGACACCTCTTGTCCGGTTTAAGGAAAATCCGTATAATATGGAATGTAAATCATAGTAAACCAGTTATAATAGCAATTGAATTGTATATAAACAAGTAATACTCAAATTGTAGTACACTCACCGTGAAGCCAAAAGTTCCTAGTTTGAATCTTCTTCCCTTTCCAGCCAATCCAGATAATATGATAAAGAGATTTTTCCCAAATTTAAGAGTGTGTGTAAAGAAACTTTTCCTTATGCATTCCACTTACTATTTATAGTAAGTGGAAATTTTTGGGGGTGCTGACCATGAACCAACTCCCCCCCCCCTTTACCAAAATTTATAATAAAATCTTTATAAACACACACACATACCTCCACCATCTTAAATTTAAAATAATTAAACCAAATGTTACATGTTACACTTGCAGAGTGTGCCCCTGTAATATCTAAAAACAAATGTTCATACAGGTGCATGGTGTTGCCTCATTTAGATTTTTTGGATGGTTTTGATTGTTTAACTTTTATTGTCATACAAAACGTTGCACAATTTTGAGAATGTAGAAATTTGTGATTATAATCTTGGATATTATTAAAACCAAACCAAACAAACCAAACTAGTATATTCCACTTGCATGCTGACTTTTTCTCTGCCTCTTAATTTTTGAAAATACTAGACCACTACACCTTATTGCAAGGTATGAATGTTGAAAATGTTAGACCTAAATATTGGATATGCATTTAAATTTCTACTTATAAAGATTGATATCTATTGTGAAGTACTGCTTGAACAAACAGTTGATATTGATGTTGACTGATAGAGCATTTTTGGCTAGTATTGTGAAGAAACTCACCTACTTGAAAATTCGATTCTTTTGACCGTAAGACAAAAATGTGGATTATCTGGTTGCGTTGGTGAAGGAAGAGAAACTTAAATTTGTGAACGACTCAACCGAAGAGGCCTGGGCCAATAGCATCATGTTCTTATTATCTTATATACATACATGTCTAT